GATCTTCACCAAAGTTGCAAAATCAAATCTTTACATCTGTACGAGCAAAATACTACTCTACGTAGAGGGTGCATGTCCCGGAGGTGACCACTAGGGACGCACTTTATCATATAAATTAGCTTTTATATACGTAATCCTGGTCAGATCGGGCTGCCAATTCGTCGCCGTGACGCTTGTGAGACTGGCGCCCAGGAGGCGGTCGCAAGAGGGGCGAGGCCTTTCATCGCCGCTTGCGGCTTTAATTTTAATTCACTTCAAGAGAATTCTATTTTTAAAAGGGCCAAGTGTGTATATCTGGATGTAGAGCAGTGTTCCCCAACCTTTTTGGCACACCTTTGTCATTGCTAAAAGTCATATGATTTTGGATCATTTCTAAGACACACAAATAAACATCTCACGACACACCAACGTGCCACGGCCCACTGGTTGAAAAGCGCTGATGTAGAGGCTGTGGAGGCCAGCGGGTTCTTTCCTCTCGAGTGGAGTGTGATTCATAACGTGGAGAGCTCTTGTCTGTGTGACGGAGCAGGTGGAAGAATCTAGAGCCTTTGGGAAGGTTTTTATTTGATCTGAAAAGGAGGTTTTTGGAAGTGAGAAATGGGAAGCGACCACTTTTCACTGCAGCCCAGATTTAAACAGAGTGGTCTTGGAGTGGTGGAGTTTTGATTGAGAGAGAGAGAGAGAGAAAGGAGAGGAGAGGGAGAAAATGAGAAAAGGGGAGGGGGGAGAGGGAGAGAGGGGAGAGGGAGAAAAGGAGAGGGGGGAGAGAGAAAAGGAGAGGAGAGAGGGAGAAAAAGAGAGAGGGAGAGGAGGAGGAGGAGAGAGAGAGAAAATGAGAGGGGGGAGAGAGAGAGAAAAGGAGGAGAGAGGGGAGGAGAGAGAGGGAGAGAAAAGGAGAGGGGAGGAGAGAGAGAAAAGGAGAGGGGAGGAGAGAGAGAGAGAAAAGGAGAGGGGAGAGAGAGAAAAGGAGGAGAGAGAGGGGAGGAGAGGGAGAGAAAAGGAGAGGGGAGGAGAGAGAGAGAGAGAAAAGGAGAGGGGAGGAGAGAGAGAGAGAAAAGGAGAGGGGAGGAGAGAGAGAGAGAAAAGGAGAGGGGAGGAGAGAGAGAGAGAGAGAGAGAGAAGGAGAGGGGAGAGAGCGAGAAAAGGAGAGGGAGAGAGAGAGAAAAGGAGAGGGGGAGAGAGAGAGAAAAGGGGAGAGAAAAGAAGAGGGGGAGAGATGGAGTTTTGAGCTGTGCCAAAGCTTCTTTATCTTGATTTATGGACGACATCGATGAAGCTGAAGAGGACTTTATCTCAGTGTTTTGGCAAAAAAATATGTAGATTTAAAGCTGGGGTTTTTCTTTGTTGTTGTTTGTCCGATAACAGGAATAGTACAAGTAAAATGTAAAGTATTAATGACTACAGAACATGATGGAAACGATTATACAAGGCATTCAAACAATAAATAACCACAGTTCATTAAAAAAGCAAACGTATGCACGGCTTAACAGACATGTCTTAAACCTGGATTTGAACATTGTCAGAGAAGAAGCCAGTCTCACGTTTTCGGGAAGAAAGTGCAAGATTTTAGCTGCATAGATTCTGAAACACTGCCTCTCCATGTTTAGGCCTGACTGGGACCAGCAGGAGGTCAGTCCCTGTGCTAACATGTATAATACTCTTATTAAAATAAGTAGTGTAATGTTGTTGGTCTGAAAGTTGCGTGTCTATAGTTGTATGTGTTTGCTCACGCCTGTGCCGAAGGATGTATTTAAAACATGTTAGAATAATCCAAATGGAGTCTGTGTGTAGCAGTGAGTCTGTGTCTTGTGGGTGCGTAGAGAAGACCCAGCTGCTTGTCTTTCTGCAGGACCTCATCAGACGGCGGTGGAACCAGAGAGAATATGAGGGAGACATCTTAAAGACCTTATGCCGGGTTTGATTTATTTAGAAATACAGTTTTAATACCATTTTATATTAGAAGAGAACTACTAAAGGTTTCAAAATCAGTTGTTGTTTTTTTTGTCTGATCTCCCCAAATCGAAATAACCCCATAGCAACGCCCTTAGAGATGAAAAAACTTCACAGCCCTTGGTGACGTCAGAGTGGGTACGTTTCAACGCTGTAAGTTGTTTACAATTTGGTATTTGTTCTTTTTTCGCGGATATTCAAGATGACAAGGCCGTGTACAGCGAGTATCAAATTACTACTAGATTGCTTTTGTTTGTTGTCACTGAGATAGTCCAGTGGTTGTGTCGATGGACTACCAATCCAGACACTGGGGTTCAAATCCCACCTCAGACACTTTTTCACTCTCAAAACGGCAATTTATGTGTAGTGAGCAATTGTCGCCTGTAGAGGGCAGTATTGTGTTGGGCATCAGTGGAGAGAAGAGAGAAAAGGCAGTCCTGTGGCATAGATCCATGGTTTTCAATGCATGGGCGTAACCCGCTATGACGTCACACACAGGTTAGAGCAGTGTTTTTCAACCACTGTGCCGCGGCACACTAGTGTGCCGTATGATATTGTCTGGTGTGCCGTGAGAAATTCGTCTACTTTGTCTAAAAATAACTGCATTCGCTGTTGACGAGCGGTGACTTGTTTTGAACTGTGGAGTAACCATGTAATACTTTTTCAAATCAGTAGATGGCAGCAGATAGCTAAGTACTTTGAAACTGAAAAATTGGATGCGACCACTGGCTGTAACAGGTCAGCATTGTGGCGAGAAAGGTAAAATTGGATGCGACCAACAAATGTGGGAGGGAGCGAGACAAGAGCTTTGTGGCGAGTGAGAAGTGAAAGTGATAGAGACGTTTTTGAAAATGAATTATGCCGTTTCTGAACAGGATTAACATCCTCCGCTCTGCCCCGGGGCAGCTGTGGCCGCGTTGTAGTGGTTTAACTATGAAATGTACAATTTTTGTACAACAGCTCTCGCGAACGCACTTCTGAACTGGGTACTGAGCGCAGACCGTAGTCGAGTGGACAGAACCACAGACATGCGGACCGGACAGAACCATGGACTCGCGTTCAGGACCTCCTGTGTCCCTCATCCAAAACTCCTGAATTTAAAGCTCGGATACCTAAATTTTTTCCCATGCACTAACAATGCATGTTCTTTGTGTGAGTTATTATTTGACTATTTGGGCAGAGAGTGGATTTTCTTAGTTTTTTTCCACACAGTTAGTGCCACTTTATTCCCAAACTCTTGTTATTTGTATCGAGAAATATTAAATAAAGCTTAATGTCAAGGCCTGGACTTAAGCATTTTGATGAGAATAACTGTATATTGTGAATATAGGCTACAGAGTATACTGTATACATTATAAGATAAGATACGATATACTTTATATATCACACAGAGTATGTACAGTATATATTTTTTTACATTAGTACTGTATACATTTTTACATTTTCTCCTGGAGGTGTGCCGCAAGATTTTTTCAGTGAAAAAAGTGTGCCTTGGCTCAAAAAAGGTTGAAAAACACTGGGTTAGAGCATAGACAGCTTACATTCATGAAAAACACATTCTTTTTATAAAATATAGGATTTTTTTTGCTGGAATCTATTTCAGATCGACATTGTCATGCAATTTTGATATCCACAATTTTTTTATTTTTAAACCCGGCATAAGGTCTTTAAACTGGAATCATTCATACTTTTACAAGCTGAGCCAATGTGTCCTGGTGTTTACATGTGAGGAGAGAGAGAAGCTGAGGACTGGCTCTGCGCAGAAACCCGGGCTCTGCGTTTGACCCGTCCTGTAGCCTCAGGCCAGTGGTGTGAAATGTATTTTTAGTCTGGGCTGAATGTATGATGGTAGTTTTCTCAGACTTGGTGGAAAATTAGTTCAAAGCTTTCTACAAAGTCTAAGTCCAAAGGTTTACTTCCCGTACTCATTCATTCTTATTTATTAAGGCCGTAGGTGTCATATACAGACTAAGGCCATACACGGAACACCACATGGGGCTAAAGTTGTAAGTAATCTTTAATTATATAGCGCATTTTTACCTTGGTGAATCTTTTACCTTTTTAAATGAATTACTTTTATTTGACTTGATTTTTAACATATTTTGATTGAAACATGCCAGGCCAGTGGTATCAGCCGTGCTTTTGTCCACGGCCGAATTGAAACAAATGAAGAGTCTGTGCCCGAAGTCTCACCCAGTCCACCCAGACACGGGGAGAACATGCAAACTCACCGGCACGGTGGCTGAGTGGATAGCACTCTCGCCTCTCAGCAAGGAGGTCCTGGGTTCGAATCCCGGCCGGACCAGGGCCTTTCTGAGTGGAGTTTGCATGTTCTCCCCGTGTCTGCGTAGGTTTCCTCCGGGTGCTCCGGTTTCCCCTACCACTAAAAATATGTACAATAGGTCTGGCATGTGCCTCCTGTACTGGCCCCGCTCCCATCTCTGTGTGGAGTGAGAGACAAATGCCCAAAAAATTAACAATTGTAAACCGCTTTGAGACTCCGATGTGCAGTGAAAAGGCGGTATATAAATAAAAGCTTACTTACTTACTTACTCCACACGGAAAGTAGGAACCCACACAGTATCAGAAAATGCCAGTCCTTACCCGGAGACAAGTGCATGGCGGCACGGTGGCTGAGTGGTTAGCACTCTCGTCTCTCAGCAAGAAGTGTTCGAATCCCGGTCGGAACAGGGCCTTTCCGAGTGGAGTTTGCATGTTCTCCCCGTGTCTGCGTGGGTTTCCTCCGGGTGCTCCAGTTTCCCCCACCACTAATAATACGTCCAATAGTTCTGGCATGTGCCTCCTGTACTGGCCCCGCTCCCATCTCTGTGTGAGAGAGACAAATGCCCACAATTGAAAAACGCTTTGTGACTCTGGTTTGTGAAACTTATGACAGACAGCGATGCTATTATTGGACATGACAGTAACTGGAAGTGTGTGTGTATCGGCTTCTCGCTGCTTTAGATCCTTGATGCAGACTTATTACTGCTACCACATACTTATTATTATGGAATTGTAATGATATTCTGCCTTCTGTGTGTTTGCCTCAGTGGACGGAGCCCTGGTGACCATTGACGTGGGGCTGGCCTACAGAGACGACACCGTGAGCGAGTGGACAGAGATGGCCCACTCCTTTGAGCAGCGGAAACTCAGCTGCAACTTGACCACAGAGAAGGTGAGGACCAAATCTTGTCTCAGGTGTGTAAATCCAGCCCACATGGCATTCCACTCTGGCTCTGTAGATGTGGGGACGTTTGGTATAACTGTGAATTAGTGTTTATTAGTTAGTATTTATCAAAATATCCAAAAAATCTCTCATTTCTGGGCTGATATCTTGTGTTTACTTTGGATAATGCAGTATAAAACATTTGGTACAGTGCCTCTTGTGGTTGAAATGTGAACTGCAGTGGCTGGATCTGAGAGAAACGACTGAGCTTTTCTGCGATTTATTAAAAGCTGATGAAGAACGATCAATATATACATTTCTGCATCTTTTTATAATGTGATAACTATCTGCGGTTTTATCTAAATATCTCAAATTTCTCTCCCAGTCTTGTTTCTGATCCCGTCATTGAGAAATACATGCAGTTTGTATTTTGGTTCAAATAGAAAACGCATGTATTTTTGATCAGTTTTTGATTATAACCAATCCCCGGTGATCCAAGATGGCGTCCTATTCAAATGAATGGCTTGTGCTCAGCAGCGCATGGGACTTCATGGAGACCGGGAGATTAGCAGAACTGGCCCATATTTGGGCATCGTCTGGTCCTCCCGGTTCTGCGCAGTGGACGAGCTCCCATGATGCATTACGCCAAATACGCGTGTGTGGCTTTCATGCACGTGCACAGAGGGGCTCGGCTGCGCTTTGACCAATCAGAGCAGCAGCAGAGTGGAGTCAGAGCGGGAAGGAAAGGAGCAGAGTTTGTGGCAGTAAAGTGTGGATTTAAAGAAAACCGAAGGATTTAAGAAGAAAAAAAGTTCAGGATGAGAAGGGACACTAAAATCCCCACAAAATACGATCTTTCTGAAAGCTGTAGGTTCTCTGTCAGGTTCTCTGTCAGCTGAGGTCGAGCTGTTTTAGTTTACATTGAGTTCTATGGGACTTTTTTCTGGGTAGCCCTCGTGAATTCAGTCTGCAGTACCACAGCGCCCCCTGTGGCCATGGGTGGGACAGCTATAAGCTAGTAATACTCTATCCAGTTATTATTATAGATCCATGATTATAACAAATTGTAAATTGTAAATAGTTTTGACCGATTCTGGTTTACCCCCCATATCGTCCGACTGTGAATCTTCCCTCTTTTTTGTTTTTGCAGATAGTGGAGAACGAGGGCCGCTACTACGAATGCGACCTGCTTCCCTTCATGGAGGTGGGCAGCGTGGCGCATAAGTACTACCTGGTCAACATCCGCCTCCCGGTCAACGAGAGGAAGAAGGTCAACGTGGGCATCGGGGAGATCAAGGACATCCGCCTCGTGGTGAGTCCGGGAAAAAAACCGACTGATCCTCTCCACCGTTTACAAGACCAATTTAATGTATTTTTGTATTGCCCTAAATCTGAGAGAGAGAGAAATCCGTTCCCACAGACAGACACTCTATAGCTCCAGGACTCAGGCTGTAGAATGAGGACCAAGGCCACGTAAGTGCAGGACTGGAGCTGGACCGGTTTAGAGCTGGGTTACACCTTTGTACCACTGGAGGGCGCACATGCATACAACTGGAGTCTCTGATTGGAAGATTAACATTATGCATGTACAGTGTGTGTGTGTATATATATATATGTTAATTTTAGCTCTTCGAACATGATTGTACGTTTAACTTTTTATTCCATGTTTTCGAACGTGAAAGGATTTATAGTAATTAAGTATTTTAAAAGTTAAATCCAATAATGGGGAGCAATCAATGAATGTGTTGCAGTTTACAGTAACGTGTGTGTGTCTGTGTGTGTGTCTGTGTGTGTGTCTGTGTGTGTGTCTGTGTCTGTGTGTGTGTGTCTGTCTGTGTGTGTGTGTGTGTGTTTGTGTGTGTGTGTGTGTCTGCGTTTGTCTGTGTCTGTGTGTGTGTGTCTGTGTCTGTGTCTGTGTGTGCAGGGCATCCATCAGAACGGAGGCTTCACCAAAGTGTGGTTTGCGATGAAGACCTTCCTCACCCCCAGCATCGTCATCATCATGGTGTGGTACTGGAGGAGGATCACCCTGATGAGCCGGCCCCCAGTGCTGCTCGAGAAGTAAGGCAGCCCTGGAATTTACACAACTCCCTTTATGCAGTATTTGTGGTCTTTTTGTCTCCCTTTAAACATAAGCTTTATCTTTATTTTAGCATTCCATATTATAGAATCATTATGCAATTATTTAAGACCAAAGGGACAGTCTATGGTCTGGTCTGGCCGTGACCTTAAACACGGGATCACTTGAATATTCGGTCTTGCGTTTGTCCCAAGTCCGTTTTGTGGAGTCCAGATTCCACACCACATCAGGGAGAGGGCGTCCGTTTGCTCTCCAGACTCTAGATTATTGTGTGAATCCAGCAGCAGATCATATTTTCCCTAAAGAAACCCAAACACTGTCCTGAGTGGAGACCTTTTGGGTGTCAGCAGAGCAGAGCTGAGGCTGGGGCTGGGGCTGGTCCTGGTCCTGGTGCTAGTGCTGCAGCTGGTATGTGTGGAATGCAGGCGGACCACCAGCACAGAGGGAGAAATGCCTCAGGGAAGTGTTTGAAGTGTTTGATGAAGACAAAGGAGATTTCGATGGTTCTGAGGCTGTAGAGCAGAGGGGGCCGTCTCTGTTTGGGGGAAACTTGAGACCGGAAAGAATGGGTCTGTTGGTAAATAGTCTGGTAATGATACTCGGATACTGCAGTTCAAATACTTAAGGCCTGTAGTGCTTCGGCCAACCCCCTTTCCAAACCATGTATATTTATTAGATAAGATAGACACTGACATTTCTCCACTTTGTGACGAATCAAGGAATATCTTATTGTTCTTTTGTCCAATTATGTTAATGCTGTTTTTTGGAATAAACAAATAAATAATAGTTTGAAGATGGTAAAGAAAGGATGCAGAGGTCTGGGGTCATTTTTCCGCAGAAGACATTTTATTGTTGCGAAAAAGGACACGACCAGAGTTTTACATTATAGACATGGTTTTGCAGAAGAAAAAAACATGGCTCCTTTCAGCATCAGCCACGGCGCCAATAGATATGTCCGCTTCAGCCTTGTCATGAGTTTTAAGATTCAAAAATGTCATAACAAGTCATAACTCTGAAGCTTTGGGCGGCCTTGGTCTGTGAAATGCGCTATATAAATAAAAATAAATGATATATTAGCTTACATAACTGAGCTGAACTCTCTTTGGTCACACTATCAACATACCATCAACTCAACACTTCACAAACAAGTACAGATCTTTCATAAAACTCATTCACAATCTTCAGTCTGATCAACTTAAGATGAAGATCCTTTATACGTCCCACAGTGGGGAAATTTCAGTGTTGCATTTCAAGTTAAAGAATAAGGATCACACAGCACAAGATAAATTAATATTAAGTATAGCACAACTCTGTACTAACAGAACAAAATACTAGACCAGAGGGAGAGACCAGAGGGAGAGACCAGAGGGAGAGACCAGAGGGAGAGACCAGAGGGAGAGACCAGAGGGAGAGACCAGAGGGAGAGACCAGAGGGAGAGACCAGAGGGAGAGACCAGAGGGAGAGACCAGAGGGAGAGACCAGAGAGAGAGACCAGAGAGAGAGACCAGAGAGAGAGACCAGAGAGAGAGACCAGAGAGAGAGACCAGAGAGAGAGACCAGAGAGAGAGACCAGAGAGAGAGACCAGAGAGAGAGACCAGAGAGAGAGACCAGAGAGAGAGACCAGAGAGAGAGAGACCAGAGAGAGAGAGACCAGAGAGAGAGAGACCAGAGAGAGAGACCAGAGAGAGAGAGACCAGAGAGAGAGAGACCAGAGAGAGAGAGACCAGAGAGAGAGAGACCAGAGAGAGAGAGAGACCAGAGAGAGAGAGACCAGAGAGGGAGAGACCAGAGAGGGAGAGACCAGAGAGGGAGAGACCAGAGAGGGAGAGACCAGAGAGGGAGAGACCAGAGAGGGAGAGACCAGAGAGGGAGAGACCAGAGAGGGAGAGACCAGAGAGGGAGAGACCAGAGAGGGAGAGACCAGAGAGGGAGAGACCAGAGAGGGAGAGACCAGAGAGGGAGAGACCAGAGAGGGAGAGACCAGAGAGGGAGAGACCAGAGAGGGAGAGACCAGAGAGGGAGAGACCAGAGAGAGAGAGACCAGAGAGAGAGAGACCAGAGAGAGAGAGACCAGAGAGAGACCAGAGAGAGAGAGACCAGAGAGAGAGAGACCAGAGAGAGAGAGACCAGAGAGAGAGAGCAGACCAGAGAGAGAGAGACCAGAGAGAGAGAGACCAGAGAGAGAGAGACCAGAGAGAGAGAGACCAGAGAGAGAGAGACCAGAGAGAGAGAGACCAGAGAGAGAGACAGGAGAGAGAGAGAGACCAGAGAGAGAGACAGGAGAGAGAGAGAGACCAGAGAGAGAGAGCCCACAAAGATTTGTAGCTTGTCGTGTACGAAATGAAATGAAAATAAATGAAATATTTGTGTGTCTGTGTGTGTGTGTCTGTGTGTTGTGTGTGTGTGTCTGTGTGTGTTGTGTGTGTGTGTCTGTGTCTGTGTGTGTTGTGTGTGTGTCTCTGTCTGTGTGTGTGTCTGTGTGTGTGTCAGGATGATCTTGGCGCTGGGCATCTCCATGACCTTCATCAACATCCCGGTGGAGTGGTTCTCTGTGGGCTTCGACTGGACCTGGATGCTGCTGTTCGGGGACATCCGTCAGGGCGTCTTCTACTCCATGCTGCTCAGCTTCTGGATCATCTTCTGTGGGGAGCACCTCATGGTACCGCTCCTCTTCCTCCTCCTCTTCTCCTCTTCCTCCTCTTCCTCCTCCTCCTCCTCTGGGAGCACTTTAGTTTCAATGTATTTTTGTATAGAACATCACATCATATCTCTGAGAACTTTACACTGCAAGAAGTGATGAAGAATAAAAAATCTCTGGTTCAAAAATGGTTCAAATTTGGCAAAATGTATCTTAATATGATCACATTCTGACTGAGCCTTAAAACAAGATTTACCAACGGGATAAAGCAAAATGATCTTGCTATAAAAAGATAAAAGAAATGTCTCTGCTGGAATGAGAAAATAAAAAGTTATTGAAGTAAGAATAAATGGCTTTGTCCCATTGGAGAATCTTGTTTTAACACAGTCACAATGTGTCAGATTAAGATAAAAACACTTGATTTAAAGATACAGTCAGTGATTTTTTTCCAGACGCATTTTTCTAAATTGTGGGAAAACGTCCATAAACCCTAAAAGTCAAGTTATCACGTGTTTTCGAATAGTAATGGAATTGACCAGATGTCTGTAGTCTCCAAAAATAAAAAAAATATTTTGGAGCGGACCGATAAAAATAAACCAATGGGATTTGTTTACCGCCTTCACCCTCTTCCAGTTTCTCTCTGAGTGCACCGGAGTTATCGGATTTTCTAAAACCTAAAATGGCTGAACAGAAAATGCCAATTTCACGTTTGCCGCCCACTCTCCCTGTTGTGACAAAGTCAAGAAAATGCTGGATGTTTGGTTTGGTTTCCAGTTGTTGCTACGGCTAAGCTAACAACATAGCAACTCCACCTTTAAGGAATTATTAACTCATATTTAATCATTTTCTGCAGTGTACAAAACTCCAACACATGATAAAAAACACACAGAGCCATTGGTCCAAAAGGGGGCAGAGACCATTGTCCATAAATGTCCTGGATCATCACCATTGTCCTCCTTCATCTGTGAGGAAGTAGTTTGCAGTAGTACCTGATGAAACTCTCTCGTTCCAGGACCAGATGGAGAGAAACCGTTTCTCCGTTTACTGGAAGCAGGTCGGGCCCATCGTCTTCGGATCCTTCTGCCTTTTTATTTTTGACATGTGTGAACGGTGAGACTACATGAATTTCTTCTATCTTAAAAGTGTCTCAATCCTTATCCAGTGGCAGTTACTAATATTGTCACACCTTTAAAATGACCCTTAATTTTTATCGTAGGTGACAGAATGTGATTTTTGAGAATTATGTCAAGAAAGAAAGTTAAATCTGATACTTTTTCAACGTCTTCCCATTGGTCTTACCCACTTTGGAGGTGGAAGAATAGAGCTGCATTCCAAGTACACTACATCTCACTGTGAAAAATGGGGGTGGAAACATTATGGATTGGGGCTACTTTTATGCAGATTCAATAGAACGAGTGATCTGTATTAATAAAAGGATGAAGAAACCCATGTATTGTGAGATTTTAGGCAAAAACAAAAGTATTGACTTTTTGGTTTTAGTTGTAAAATTGGGGCATTATCGAACTATCACATGGGATGTTTTGCTTTGTCACATGATAATGACAAAGATGACATCATGTTGCATGTTCTCCTTGTGTGCAGTGGTGTCCAGCTCACAAACCCCTTCTACAGCATCTGGGCGTCAGAAGTGGGCACTGAACTGGCTGTATCCTTCAACAATATCACTCTATTTTTAAATTTTTAGAAAAAGAGTTTTACTCTCTCTTTGTCTCTGTCTCTCTCTCTATCTCTCTCTCTGTCTCTGTCTTTCTCTCTGTCTCTATCTCTGTCTCTCTCTGTCTCTGTCTCTCTCTCTCTTTCTATCTCTGTCTCTCTCTCTGTCTCTGTCTTTCTCTGTCTTTGTCTCTATCTCTATCTTTCTCTCTGTCTCTCTCTGTCTCTCTCTGTCTCTGTCTCTGTCTCTCTCTGTCTCTGTCTTTCTCTCTGTCTCTATCTCTGTCTCTCTCTGTCTGTCTCTCTCTGTCTGTCTCTCTCTGTCTCTATCTCTGTCTCTCTCTGTCTCTTTCTCTATCTCTATCTTTCTCTCTGTCTCTATCTCTGTCTCTCTGTCTCTCTCTCTCTCTGTCTCTCTATCTCTATCTCGGGTTTCTCTGTCTCTGTCTCTCTCTCTCTGTCTCTGTCTCTCTCTCTGTCTCTGTCTCTCTGTCTCTCTCTCTGTCTCTGTCTTTCTCTCTGTCTCTATCTCTATCTTTCTGTCTGTGTCTCTGTCTCTCTATCTCTCTCTGTCTCTCTATCTCTATCTCGGGTTTCTCTGTCTCTGTCTCTCTCTCTCTGTCTCTGTCTCTCTATCGCTCTCTATCTCTGTCTATCTCTCTCTCTACCTCTATCCATCTGTCTCTCTCGCTCTCCATCTCTGTCTATCATATACATTTGATTAAAACATTGCTTCTAACCGGTCATGTGTCCATCTGCCGCTGGCCCAGAGCGCTGTGTTTCCTTGACAGCGGGCGCTCAGATGGCCTTCATCATCGTGGCGGGGATCTGTGCCTGTCTGTACTTCCTCTTCCTCTGCTTCATGGTTTTCCAGGTGTTCCGGAACATCAGTGGGAAGAGGAGTTCTCTGCCGGCCATGTCCAAGGCTCGCCGGCTCCACTACGAGGTACTGTCCGGGTCCATGTTAGCAAATCGCCAAGACTGCACTTTCATCCGCAAATCAAAAAGGGACTAAAAAGTGGGAACTGTTATCTATCTCAGGTCTCTCTCTCAGGTCTCTCTCTCAGGTCTCTCTCTCTGGTCTCTCTCTGGTCTCTCTCTGGGCGCTCTCTCAGGTCTCTCTCTCAGGTCTCTCTCTCTGGTCTTTTTCTGGTCTCTCTCGCTCTGGTCTCTCTCTCAGGTCTCTCTCTCAGGTCTCAAGTCTCTCTCTCAGGTCTCAGGTCTCTCTCTCAGGTCTCTCTCTCAGGTCTCTCTCTCTGGGCTCTCTCTGTTCTCTCTCTGGTCTTTTTCTGGTCTCTCTCTCTCTGGTCTCTCTCTGGTCTCTCTCTCTGGTCTCTCTCTGGTCCAAATGCACTAATAATTAAAGTGGACATATCGTGTTTTCAAATAATTGATTTTTACATCTAAATCATTAATTTGTGGCCTATATAAAGCGTAACTGCAATGCCTGGGTCTGAGTCTCATTATTTGTAGCTCCACTGGCCTTTCTTCTACACCTGTTCTGAGGTGCGTCTGAGAGCAACCTGTTTTGGTGCTGTCTCTTTAAATGCAAATGAGGCGCTTTTGACCACCCCCCCATCCAGGTGACACAGGTTCAACTCCACCCCGAGCGGCCATTTTTGTAGTTTCTAAGCACAGATACAATTATCTCATAGAAACTTCTCATTACATCGCAAACATGAAGCAGTCCTTCCTCATTGACTGAAAGCAAATGTTAATTTTCATTCTTAGTCCAGTCTTATTATCGACTCTTCTCTTTTTATCTTTGGGATCCATGCGCTTTACATTTACATTGAATATTACTTATGCACAATTTTACAGCATTTAAAAACGTTAAGAACGTTTTTCCTTCTACAGAAGGAAAGAGACGCATGCGCCTCCGGAGCCGCAGGTTGCCGACTCCTAGTTTATACACAGATTACTCAAAGACACGCATGGTCCTGTGCGCGTTTATGGGGTTGGGTACATGGCCACGTTGAAGCTGCGCTCTCAGCCACAACACGGTGGAGCGGCTGCGAGCGGCTGGACGCTCACAGCCTCTCGCAGCCGCTGGACGCGGAAGCTGCTCATTACAAAGTGGCCGCAGATGCCCCGGAACACTGCGGCCGCTGAGGTGGCGGAATCTCGTTCGAGTATATACAGCAGGTGCCCCGCGGATACGCGCGCCCCGCTCGAACAATTCTCTACGGATTTACACTTCTCATAAACATGTGATTTGTATGAGGCAGACAGACCGGCCCAAATATGGGCATCGGCCCTTTGGGCATTGCCCGGTACGCCCGATGGCCAGTCCAGCCCTGTTCGCTGGCATCCTTGAGCTTGGACCACAAATTCGAAGTGATGCACAGTAGAGGAGGGCTGGGTCGAAGTGTTTTGTTAGACGCCCATGCCCTTATATAGCAGTCTCGCTGCAAATACTGTGACGTAATAATTCTAAACACGTAATAGAGAATGGCAAAATCAGAACGGGTTGAAAAATCTTACCTAAACAGAATATGAAGTGTTCTCTGCAACCCATGAAGAGACTAGGGCTGGGCGATATGGCTGAAAACTATATCACGATATAAGTCATTCATATCGGTCGATAACGATATATATTGAGTTTTTTTTTTTGTCGTGTGGGCTAACCAACCTTAGCAGCCTTGTTTACAGTCACGGGGCGATGAGGCTGGAGAAATATGTTCACACTGTGTCCCTCGTTGTTAGTCCTGGCTTAATCCTGGTTTTTATTCCTGGTTTAGCTCCTGGTTTAGCTGGTTGAGGGTCTTGTGTCCCTGTGACCGCTCCGTGCGGCTCTCTGTGCCGCACATGCTTCCCGAGGAAAAAGTTAATCTCTTGCTTTCGCCGAATACATCGTGTCTGTCCACTGCCTCTGCCGCCGCACATGTTATTCCGCGCACGTACGTGCACAACCATTGACACGGCATTGAAACACGAGCTATAGATCCATGGACGCTACGCATGCTGCGGTTGTTGTTGTTTTTGCATTTCCCACAAAGTTTTGCGGTTCCTGCTCGGCTGTTATTGGTCAAGAAGCCTCCGCCTACATCCCCCACAATGCCATGCGCTTATGAGTCGGCTTTACTTCCGGTGTTTTCTTCCTGTTTTTCCTGACGGAGTTAAGTTAAACTATCGAACATTCTATCGACCCCATTCTCTATTGATATCGAACACATGTCTATCGCGATATATATCGTTATCGTTTTATCGCCCAGCCCTAGAAGAGACTGATTTCAACTTTTTTGCACTTCTAGAGGCTCCAACTACACAACATCAGGCATTTAAGACACAAAAAGTGGATTTTTCATGATATGTCCCTTTTAAATCTGACATTGAGGTCTCTGCTGTTGTGTCCAGGGTCTGATCTTCAGGTTTAAGTTCCTGATGCTGGTCACGCTGACGTGTGCCGCCATGACTGTCATCTTCTTCATCATCAGCCAGGTCAGTCTCTGGTCCAGGTTTAGAAATGTGCTTCACCCAAACAACAAGATTGCTTTCTTCTTGTTTTGTTCTGTACTTTGAGATGCCTTGTGTGTGAACTGTGCCATATAAATAACCTGGCCTAACCTGCAGGTGAACGAGGGCCACTGGCACTGGGGCGAGCACACGGTCCAGGTGAACAGCGCCTTCTTCACCGGGATCTACGGCATGTGGAACCTTTACGTCTTTGGCATCATGTTCCTGTACGCACCGTCGCACAAGCGCTACGGGGACGAGCAGACCAGCGGACAGTGCATCACAGGTACAAACACTCTGGTCTTTCTCTCTGGTCTCTCTGATCTCTCTAGTCTCACTCTGGTCTCTCTCTCTGGTCTCTCACTCTGGTCTCTCTCTCTGGTCTCTCACTCTGGTCTCTCTCTCTGGTCTCTCTCTGGTCTATCTCTGGTCTCTTCTCTGGTCTCTCTCCGGTCTCTCTCTGGTCTCTCTCTGGTCTCTCTCTGGTCTCTTCTCTGGTCTCTTCTCTGGTCTCTCTCCGGTCTCTCTCTGGTCTCTCTCTGGTCTCTCTCTGGTCTCTCTCTGGTCTCTTCTCTGGTCTTTTCTCTGGTCCCTCTGGTCTCTCTCTGGTCTCTCTCTGGTCTCTCTCTGGTCTCTCTCTGGTCTCTCTCTGGTCTCTCTCTGGTCTCTCTCTGGTCTCTCTCTGGTCTCTCTCTGGTCTCTCTCCGGTCTGTCTCTGGTCTCTCTCTGATCTCTCTCTGATCTCTCTCTGGTCTCTATCTCTCTCTGCCCCTCTCTCTCTGGCTTAGAGAGGAAGAGGAGGAGGAGGAGAAACAGTTAAATATACATGTGATACAAATGTTTTGGTTGTAACTACGAACATAGAGGACCGACGCAGGTGGATAGATGGATACTTTGATATGTAGATACTTTGTTACTTGGATATATACTGTAGATACTTTGATATATACATACTTGGATAGATACCTCGGCCTCTGATGCCTCTGTCTCTGATGTCTCTTGTGTCCTGCAGGAGACACTGGGGCCGGCAGTGGAGAGGACATCCAGCTGACCACCACCATCACCCAAGGGGACGGCCCCACAGAGATCTACAAGATGACGGGGAAAGGGAACCAGGAGTAGGGCCTCTGCGGGACCGGGCCTACACCTTCTTTCAGCTCCACCTCCACCTCCACCTCCACCTCCAGCTCCAGCAGGTTTCTCATGACCACAAAGGCGACGACGGCATTCCTCACTCCAGGCTGAATTTTATCTTATCAGGTCCCGCGATTTCATTGAGAAACATTTCACTGCCAACAGTTCAGGTCTACAAATGACACCCATGTCTCCCTGAACGGTAGCAGCCTCCACCCTCCCTGTGTTCTGTGGTTGTGGAAGAGAAATACCCTTTTATTTTCCCCCATTTTAACCAGAAAAACATCTGCAGTATCTCTTCTGAACCATGGATTTTACATTCTTGTTTAAGGTCTTTCAATCTTTTATGAAATGCAGCATACAGCGGCCGGCAAATGTACTAACACAACTTGAAATTTTGTACATTTGGTCAAGTTTCGGTCCACAAACGAGAGGATTTTTGCACTGGAAAGTGAAAGCAAAATCACGTCAGTTTTCTGTTACTTTATTGTGGACTTCCAATTATAATATTTACGTCCAACAAAACATTTTTTGGCTGTACACATGAGAAAATGAGCAAACCTTTTGTATGACGCTCAATGTATATTATGGAGAAAATGTATAGAACTTTTGTAAACAGCTTAGAATGATCCTTATCAATGTTTTATCATTTTTAGCCTCGGGTTTATACAAATTCTCATCCATTTGGTTTTAAACTACCAATATTACACACTTTTCTAATTCAGAATTTTGCAGTAAGTTGCCAAACGTGATCCCTATTTAAATACTGCCATAACTTTGACCAAAACGCATACTTTTTGGAGTATAAGAATATCTTCCACTGTTTAAAAGTTAGTATTTCTTGTTTTTTTAAAGAGGGGATGGTTGAACTTCATCAGTCTGGAGATGTAACGCTTCTAATTTTAAACATATTTCTCACATACTGTAGTTTTTAGATCACGTCTGTCATCATCGCATTTTTAAAGACTTCAGACCACTTCACTATGTTACAATGTAGATAAAGCTATTTTTATAAACATTTTTCATGCATCCTCAAAGTGTTATTTGAATTTGATCTTAGCCGATTTACTCGTTTTTAGTTATTTTTTGGCTTTATGTGATTTTATTTAAATAAAACATTTACATAAAGTTCAAGTGTGAGTGACTTGGGAATGTGCATGTTTTGCTGAGTCAGTGAATGAGAAAGACATGGGAATGTTCTGGCTCTGGTTTGATGATCATTCTTCAGATTCTTGTCTCACTGTGAGGTTAGTGCTGCCCCCCAGAGGTGAAGAGTGGAACGACGGGAGCCAAATAAAATGGTCATATGTACGAGGTGACAGTAAGTGGAAAGAGAAACGGTTTTCACAATAAAACTATATTGTCCAGAGAATTTCCAATTGGTTTCTAAACTTGACAATCTGTTCAACTTTTTTGCTGAAAATGTGTCCGAACTAAACTCAATTACTTTTTTGCAGTCACCAAAAGTTATAAAGTCACAAACTAGGAATTGCTGACAAGAAAGGAGGTTTGGCTCATGGTGCAAACAAGTTATAAAATTAATATTTAAAAGTATGCTAAAAAAATCTCATACTGTATTAGTACTCGCACATAAAGGATGGAACACTGTCAAATGTCCACATTTTGCTCGAGCGAGTTCGACTTCAAACAAGTTCGAGTTTAGGGCTAAAACAATGATTGGACAAGAGTGTTTGGACCTTTTTTCAAAAGGAGTTGCACAGTGCAGCTCAGACGGGTTGAGTGAAGGCCACACACTCAGCAGTCGTAGAGCACAGACCTTTGCCAAGAGTCAATTCATACCTTTAAAAAAATATTTGCTAGGAATGGGACAAGGAACAAATAATTCCAAACATTTACTGAAAATAAAAAATGACTAACATTCACTATCATTTCCAATTACACACACGCAAAATAAAAATACACATGCTCACATCTGCAATAAAAATAAACACACATACATCTGTAATAACAATGAACACACAAACATCTAATACAAATACAAAAGCATAGACCACCTGTAAAAATAAATTAGATAAGCTCATTTTTGTTACTATTATTGTGAAAGCACCCACCGGATGCCCCGTGCTCCGTGCCCCGCATCAGTCTTCGGGTGAACCGCCTCTGCTTCTTCACTTCGGAAACACTCGGGTTTTTCCGTCGCCGAGCGCCCGAGCCGAGCGGAGGAGGAAACCCCTCGGGCAAAGGTGGAAGACTTCACTCAAAACTCTCCAAAATCACGCAAAGGAGACACTGCTTTCACACACGCCAACTCGAGTTTTCTAATATTGTTTTTATCGTTTTTGGGAGAAAAACAGAGACATTTTCTTGCACGTCTCGCCTGCTCCCAGTTTGTTACAGGGTCTTCGGCGCTGGGACTTTGGCATTGAAAGGTAGGACTATTTCGTGACTTATTCCGTGTTATAAGTTGTCAAAAAACCTGGTACATTTCATTCACTTGAGCAACAGTTGGTTTGTGCCTTGTGTGTGAGACTCCGTGTTTTTACAGTCTGCACATAGACCGTAAGCAGGGGCGGCGCGCAGAATATTTTGTACCATGGGCAAAAATAAAAAATGCCAGAATTATTTTTATTGCCATTGTAAGTAACAGGAAATCACAAACTAGGAAATTGCTTGAGCTCAAAGTGTTGTTAGAGTAAAAATAAGAAAAGGTCAAGCAGCAGTTTTCGCTTGATCTCTGCATGTGATTGATGTTTTGGATCTAAAATGCAATCAAGGTGGCCCTTAAACCAATCAGAATAAGACCTTATTTGATGGCAACAAAAATGGAAATTACTTTCGCACGCAGACTTTCTCATGTTTCTCACCTTTTACAGACTGTTTAGGCAAATTCAGCTTGACCTGAACAAATTGAAGGTTTTGGGTTTTAGAAGTGTGAATACTAGTATGTATCTTATTTGTCTTCTTAACTTTGTGTGTGTTTGTATACATCGGTGTGTGTTTGTATGCCTCTGTGTGTCCGTATGAGTCTGTCTGTGTGTCCGTATGAGTCTGTATGTGTGCGTCTGTATGTCTTTGTATAACGTCTGTATGTGTGTCTGTATGTGATTGTATAGTGTCTGTGTGTGTTTGTATATCGTCTGTATGTGTGCGTCTGTATGTGTGCGTCTGTATGTGATTGTATAGTGTCTGTATGTGTTTGTATATTGTCTGTATGTGTTTGTATATCGTCTGTGTAATATGTATGTGTAATGTGTGCGTCTGTATGTGTGTGTCTGTATGTGTGTCTGTATGTGATTGTATAGTGTCTGTATGTGTGCGTCTGTATGTGTTTGGATAGTGTCTGTATGTGTGCGTCTGTATGTGTTTTTATAACGTCTGTATGTGTGTCTGTATGTGATTGTATAGTGTCTGTGTGTGTTTGTATATCGTCTGTATGTGTGTGTCTGTATGTGTGCGTCTGTATGTGTTTGTATAACGTCTGTATGTGTGTCTGTATGTGATTGTATAGTGTCTGTGTGTGTTTGTATATCGTCTGTATGTGTGTGTCTGTATGTGTGCGTCTGTATGTGTTTTTATAACGTCTGTATGTGATTGTATAGTGTCTGTGTGTGTTACTTTGTATATCGTCTGTATGTGTGTGTCTGTATGTGTGCGTCTGTATGTGTGCGTCTGTATGTGATTGTATAGTGTCTGTATGTGTGCGTCTGTGTGCGTATTTAGCTCATTATAAAGTATTCTAGTCTAGTCTGTAGTGAGGTGGTTGTGGCTGCATGCTAAGCTGAGGCGCTGTGTGCTGCATGTTAAGTACTAAGGAGGAGTGAACGCTGTCTTTTTACTATAGAAATTTCAATGTAAAGACCGGAAGAAATTAAGGTTTTTTTTTTTTTTTTGGTGGGTTTGTCCAAATAACTTCATTCCCATTCAAACCCAAAAATGTCATGTGAGAGAAAGTCGTTGTGCTACAGTGCCTTGCAAAAGTGTTCGGCCCCCTTCAACCTTTCGCCATATTTCAGCCTTCAAACATAAAGATATAAAATTTAAATTTTTTGTCATGAATCAACAACAAGTGGGACACAATCGTGAAGTGGAATGAAATTTGTTGGATAATTTAAACTTTTTTAACAAATAAAAAACTGAAAAGTGGGGCGTGCAATATTATTCGGCCCCTTTACTTTCAGTGCAGCAAACTCAGTCCAGAAGTTCAGTGAGGATCTTTGAATGATCCAATGTTGTCCTAAATGACTGATGATGATAAATAGAATGCACCTGTGTGTAATCAAGTCTCCGTATAAATGCACCTGCTCTTTGATAGTCTCAGGGTTCTGTTTAAAGCGCAGAGAGAACCATGAAGACAAAGGAACACACCAGGCAGGTCCGAGATACTGTTGTGGAGAAGTTTAAAGCCGGATTTGGATACAAAAAGTTTTCCCAAGCTTTAAACATCTCAAGGAGCACAGTGCAAGCAATTATATTGAAATGGAAGGAGTATCAGACCACTGCAAATCTACCAAGACCCGGCCGTCCCTCCAAACTTTCATCTCAAACAAGGAGAAGACTGATCAGAGATGCAGCCAAGAGGCCCATGATCACTCTGGATGAACTGCAGATAACTACAGCTGAGGTGGGGATGGTGTGTTCAGGGTGATGAGCTGTGTTGCTTTTACACCAAACATATCGTTTTGCATTGTGGCCAAAAAGTTAGATTTTGGTTTCATCTGACTAGAGCACCTTCTTCCACATGTTTGGTGTGTCTCCCAGGTGGCTTGTGGCAAACTTTAAATGAGACTTTTTATGGATATCTTTGAGAAATGGCTTTCTTCTTACCACTCTTCCATAAAGGCCAGATTTGTGCAGTGCACGACTGATTGTTGTCCTATGGACTTGGCTGCATCTCTGATCAGTCTTCTCCTTGTTTGAGATGAAAGTTTGGAGGGACGGCCGGGTCTTGGTAGATTTGCAGTGGTCTGATACTCCTTCCATTTCAATATAATTGCTTGCACAGTGCTCCTTGAGATGTTTAAAGCTTG